GTATATATGTCTGTATGTATGTCTGTGTGTATGTCAGTATGTATATATGTCTGTATGAATGTCTGTGTGTATGTCAGTATGTATATATGTCTTTGTGTATGTCTGTGTGTATATATGTCTGTGTGTATGTATGTATGTATGTCTGTGTGTATGTATGTCTGTGTGTCAGTATGTGTGTGTGTGTGTCAGTATGTATATATGTCTGTATGTATGTCTGTGTGTGTTAGTATGTATGTCAGTATGCATGTGTATGTGTCTATCTGTATGTCTATCTGTATGTCTGTGTGTATGTCAGTATGCATGTATGCCTGTGTGTATGTCAGTATGTATGTGTGTATGTATGTCAGTATGCATGTATGTCTGTATGTGTGTGTATGTCAGTATGTATATATGTCTGTGTGTATGTCTGTGTGTGTGTCAGTATGTATGTCAGGTTGTGTGTCAGTATGTATGTGTGTATGTATGTCAGTATGCATGTATATCTGTGTATGTCTGTGTGTGTGTGTGTATGTCAGTATGTATATATGTCTGTATGTATGTCTGTGTGTATGTCAGTGTGTATGTCAGTATGCATGTATGTCTGTGTATGTATGTGTGGATGTCTGTGTGTTTGTGTCTATCTGTATGTGTATGTGTATGTTTGTGTGTATGTCTGTGTGTATATATGTCTGTGTGTGTGTCAGTATGTATGTGTGTATGTATGTCAGTATGCATGTATGTCTGTGTGTATGTCTGTATGTATGTGTGTATGTCTGTATGTATGTGTCTATCTGTATGTGTGTGTATGTCAGTATGTATATATGTCTGTTTGACAGTATGTATGTATGTCTGTGTATGTGTCTGCAAGTATGTATGTGTGTGTGTGTATGTCAGTATGTATGTCTGTGTGTGTATGTCAGTATGTCTGTATGTGTGTATGTGTCTATCTGTATGCATGTATATATGTCTGTATGTATGTCTGTGTGTGTATGTCAGTATGTATGTGAGCATGTATATATCTGTCTGTATGTATGTCAGTATGCATGTATGTCTGTGTGTGTGTAAGTCAGTATGTCTGTATGTATCTGTGTGTGTATGTATGTATATCAGTATTTATGTGTATGTATGCCATTATGTGTGTATATATGTCAGTTTGTCAATATGTATGTATGTCTGTATGTATGTGTGTGTGTCAGTATGTGAGTATGTATGTACGTCAGTGTGTGTGTCTGTATGTCAGTATGCATGTGTGTGTGTGTGTATCTGTGTATGTGTCTATATGTGTGTATGTGTTGCGGCTCCCGGCCCGCCGCATGGCACAGCCATGCCCGACCGGCATCACAAGCTATATGTTTATATAGTTTCTGCGTGTCTGTTAGTATGTGTGTATCTTCCTGTGTGTCTGTGTCCTGTTGTGTCTGTGTGTGTGTACTCCTGTGGGCGGCCCTGTTGGGTCTGTGCATGTGTCGGGCATATAAGGGACAAAACAGGCAACTAACAGGACTAACAGGAGTTTTTTTGCTAAAGTGAGACTTCAAAGTGAATTTCAAATTATTATTATTATTTTTTTTTTTTTACTTGAAATAAGAAATTTTTTTTTTTTATTCTGGAGGTATATCAACAAACACACAATGCACTTACATGAAAAGAGCATAAGAAAATAATGAAGTCAACAAACTGACTAATGTTGTTATGAAAGAAAGAAATATTTTTAAGATAGAACAAGATTTAATCTGATCATTTTTTTTTTACATGTTACTTTTTTTCCCCCAGCAAATGTACCTTTCCTTTATTGTGTTTTTGACAATGTGGACAAACGAGGTGACTTATGGCTAACCTTATTGGTGTTACTGTTTTTAATCTCTACTTTATGAATGCATATTCATTTTAGTAGTTTTTTTTTTTAATTAGAACTGCATATCTTAGCACATCATTTTGTTAATTTGACATTATGTTATTTTTGTTGCTTTCTTTTTGAATGTTAAGTAAAGTCTTATGTTGTGTTAATTAATATGTGGTACTGACATATGATCTAGTGTCACAAGGGAATTCTAATATGGAAAGTGTTCATTTTATATAGAAAGTTTTTTCTCTATTTTGTTGAGGGTTTTTGTTTTTATTAATTGTTCTCATCTTAATTTATTAGCATTTTTTATTCTGCATAATTACATATGAGGCATATGTCTAATTACACTTATTTAGCTTTCTAGATGAAAGCACAATCCATATTATTTTCTAACATAGTCAGTTACATTGAAGTAATTAATTTTTTTTTTTAATTCTTTATTTTTGTTGTGCAATTGCATATTACAAGTGATGAAGATGCCACAACAGCTCTCTCAGGTAATCAAGCATATAACATAAAAAAAAGAAAAAAGTGCGCTGTGCCTTTAAGTGCTAATTCAACAATTTAGAAACAATCTATAAACAAATATTGGTCAGACAATAGTGAATAAAGTGCAAATACCATATAAATAAATTTTATCCAATAATTTATACTCTGTGAATACGTGCTCTTTTGTGAATTTCAAACAGAGAAACACTTACTCCTTAGAATATAGGAACTGCTGAAGATTGAAGGAGTATCTCTTTAAATCGCTTCCACATATAAATAGAAAAAATATAGGAAAACAAAAGACACAATATAGTGTAAATCTGTATAATCAGTATAAGCAAAAAATAATAATAGGAGAATACCACTCACAATGGTAGAGCAGAATAAAGTCTGCTCCAACTATAAACGCTTTCAAATCCTCTCTGCAGGATTCTGTAGAACAGTTGAATGGTGTGCTTGAAACAAGCAGGACGGCACCAGAATAGAAATAAAACCTTTTATTGGTACAGGATAAAACAAAAGATCATCACCCCTCTCCCTGGAAAGCCGAGATGGTTCAGACCCACTTTGACTCGCGGCATGCACTTGCGGTCTTTCGGTGGTTAGATGTTTCCGGGAATAGGAGGTGCTAGTAACACGTACCGACGTCGTGCGTTCAAAAACGTGATGACGCGTTTCGCCTTGCCGGCTTCCTCAGATCACGTTCGGGTGGTTGCCGTCTCTCAAAATATATACCCGTCTATGTAGGCGTGGTATCATCTTCAATGCACATAATTAGTCTAGTCCCAAATGTAATCAAAGTCTATGGACTCTAGGGCATATTGCCTAAATGTCTCTTCATATAAATGTCCATTATCTAAAATATTATATATATAATATTAATAATATCATTCAATAAAGGAAATAGGTTAGGTTTAATACACATATACAAGTGAATATCCTACTACGTGGAAAAAAAGGGGATATAGAGATTACTTCATATAAAAATTCATAACAGACATATAAATGTATGGACCAATAATAGATAAATATAAATAATCCCAATATTCATGAAAAAATGTTTAAATATGTGAGAGCAGAGGAAATTTTTTTTTTTAAATATATATATATATATATAAAAGAAGGGGGGGGGACTTATCATAAAAAGTTATATAAATCTAATTCTATATTAAGTCCATTGGGCTCTAGGGTACCTAATTTATGTACCCATTTCATTTCTTCCTTCCCAATGTCTAAAATATAGTTGCCACCTCTCCAAGATTTTTTCACTATCTGAATCCCTAAAAATGTTAAACCACTTGGATCTGACTTATGATATCTTTTAAAATGAGCTGAAACGCTATGCTGTTCAAAACCCTTTTTAATATTATTAATATGTTCATACACTCTTTTATGTAGAGGACGAATAGTCCGGCCAACATATTGCAATCCGCACGGACAAATTAAAAGATAAATAAGATTTTTACTAAAACAAGTTATAAAATCGTTTATTTGGAAATCTTCTTCTTTATACTTTGTTTTAAATTTACTAATACCCTTAATAGTTCTATTTTTACTGCATTTACAGCCCACACATTTACCACATGAATAAAAACCATTTTTATTATTTTTAAAAAAAGTAGTAACTACTTCCGCTTTTGGGTGATTAAAAGTTAGCATCTGTTTAAAACTTGGTGCTCCTCTAAAAGTAATAAAAGGTTTATCAGGGATCACTTTTAATAGTTCTTTATCTTTTTTAAGAAGGTGCCAGTGTCTATTTATAATAGTTTTAACTTTCTTATTATCACTATTAAAATCTAGAACTAAGGGTATTAAATCAAAATTGTCAGATCTTTTAATAGTATTACATTTGGAAATTAATTCTTGTTGACTTAATAAATTAGTCTCTTCAAATGCTTTTTCAAGTAATGTTTCGGGATATTTCTTTTGTACAAATTAATCTAGAGCTGTCTTAGCTTGTTCTTTAAAAATATCATTGTCAGTGCAATTTCTCCAAAGCATATAACATAGATGAACAGTTGGCATTAAAAGACAGTGCACAGGTTTTTTATAAGGTTAATTTTACATGTTACAACAATCCTGCTTGATCTATCGTTGTGTCGCCATAGGTCCCCCTAAGGTGATAAGTTACATGTAGTTATCTAGGTGTTACATTGCATGTTCAGCTCTGATTGGTGTACTATGGTACCTTATTTCGTGTAAGTGGGTCCTAGTGGATGCTCTGGCGAAACAGATTCGTACCACACTACTCGCCAATTTATCCCTAGTCCAGGGCATTGTGGCTGGGTGTATTGTGCGTGAACTTAGGTCTCTCTATCGTTACGTTGTTCTGTGTGCCTCGTAGATGATTGTACGATGTGTGTGTAGTCCTTGACCCCTAACCTAGAGGGCCTCGGGGGGGGGGGTAGGGGTAGTGGAGATGTACTATTGGTATATGAGCAGGCTCCGGCTTGGCGATGGCTTTTGTGGGTATTGCAGTGCCCGGTAATTGTGTTATTGGTATGTGGATCATCGCCTGTGAGGTGGCCCTTTAACTTAAGGAAGTGTTATATGGGTGTGTGCCCTGCTGGGTTCCCTAATTGTTGCTAAACCCTTGGTATATAAGTAATCATAGAACTGGTAAAAGAAAAACATTATTGTTAACTCTGGTAACTTTTGTTAGCGGGCTGAGCAGCAGTCATTTACGTCAAGTGTCCGCTATCGGGATTTCCCTTCTCCTCGGTACAAAGGGGACAGTTCTGGTGGGGTCCCATGTATGGGAGCTAGTTGGCTCGTCAGTTGGATCTGGTCTCGGTGGGAGCTTCAGTGCCTGGAGGAAGGAGTCCGCCTCCTGGGATGAGGTGAGATGCAGAGTAGTGCCGTTGTGATCCACAGACAAGGTTTTGGGTGTTTTCCAACGGTAGATTACCTTGGCATCTTGAAGGCGACGGGTCACTGGGCGTATATTTCGTCTCCATTGAACTGTGGATCGTGTTAAGTCTTGATAAAAGGTAAGACTTGCGGATTCAAAGTCCAGTGGTGTTTTGCCCTTTAGCGCTGCAAAGATGGCGTTTCTGTCTGCACGAGTGTGGCACCTGACGATTACATCCCTGGTTGCTTGGGGGGGTGCCTGTGGTGATTTGCGGATGCGAAACATCTCTGCGATGGCCAGTTTTTTGGCCTGTGCGTGTGGCAATATGGTGGCTACCAGTCGCCTGAGGTAATGCGGCAACTCTGACTGGCTGATGTTGTCGGGGATTCCCCTGATTTTTACAACGCATTTGCGGCTCCTCTCTTCTGTCGCCTCTAGTTTACTGAGCTGAGTTGAGTGAGAGGATTTTAATTGTGATACTGTTTCTTTAAGGCCTTTTATTTCTTGTGTTATGTTGTTTATATCTTCCTCTGTGGATTTCACGCGGTCCGTGACCGCTTGGACCTACGTTTTTCTTATGGCCATGTCTGCTGCTGACATTTGTTTTAGTTCAAGTAAGAGGTTTTTAATGTCCAGTTTGGTGGCTGGTGTTAGCGCATCTGGGTCAGCCTGTATGTCATGGGGTGGCCGTAGGTCTAGTGTATCTCCCGCAGCATGATCCGAGTTTGTGGAGTTAGTCTCTGGGTCAGGTGTGGCCGCCATCTTTGGGCCCGCTGGGCGCTGGAGCATGGCGCTAATGTCATGGGTGTACTTACATGCACCTGCTGCCGTCCGCTGGGATTTTCTTCCCATGGTGTCCGGATCGGTGTGTTTGTTCTCTGCTGGCTGTGCGGTTATGGAGAGTGCTGCGCTGTATAGCGCCATTTCAAGGGCCCTGTAATCTGGGTAGGCCTTGGCTTTGTGGCTGACTTTCCGACCTGTCTGCTGGAATGTAAAGGGCATCAGTCGGGTGTCTGCTTTGCTCTCCCGGTCTGCCCGCAGGGTTCCAGAGGTATGTGGGCTCTTTTAGTTTTATTTTCTCGTTGATTTTTTCTCATTTTGGCCGGAGCTCTCCGTGTGTGAGACTGCTTGGTTCTGTGGCTAAGCTCTGCACCCCGAATTTCAAATTTTAAAGGACAACGTATGCACCAGAACAACTTTAGCTTAAAGAAGCAGGGTGGGTGTATAGGCTGTGACTGATACAGTATGCATGAAAAAAAACATTTGATTTTCAATCAGATGCTAATTTGCTTTAGAAGTTTTTATCTCCTGCTTTGTAAATTGAATTTTAATCACCCACACAGGAAGCTCCTGCAGGGTCTGGAAGGATATTAGCAGATCTGGAGATAATAAATTCTAAATTGAACAGAATGTGCAATAAAGAAAGTTTAAACACTAGATCTCTCTTTACAGGGAGTTTTTAGGAAGGTTCACATGCAGGGAGGTGTAACTAGGGATGGATAAACAAAGTGATTTAACTCCTAATTGGCAGAGGATTCAGCAATGAGAGAGCATGATCTATACACAAAAACTGCTTAATTAAGCTAAAGTTATTCTGGTGCCTTATAGTGTCCATTTAAGGAAATTTTAAAAAAAGTTTTGGGAAAAAAATATCACTTTTTCTATTTTGGCCTTAAATTTGAAATTTACTGAATATCCCTGTGAATAGTCGCAGTTGCCTAATTGTCTTATAGCGCCAGTTTTTTTCACAAACCCCTGCTGGTATAAGAACCATTCACTTTACAATAATGTATAATTGTTATGGTGCTTAGACTGACCCTTTAACATTGTTAGCTGTTGGTTTTTGTTTGAAGAATGAATGTAGTCCTTGGCGTACAACTACTTTCTTAAGTGGTCAGAACAAGTTTCCACCCTACAAAAGCTCCTTTCTATCATGCATTTTCCAGTCTACCAAATTTCTGTTCTGTTATTAGTGGGAAACAATATTACTGTTGATCCAGGTTGGTTGTTCAGTGTTTCTGTTTATGTAGTATTAAATGAATGCATATTTAAGCCTCTTAACATGGCAAGAAATTTAAGGCTGGATAAGTTCTTTGTAGCTGCTATTAGCTACAATGACAGATTAATTAGTCTTCACTACTTCCAGGTGTGTGGCACGCTCTGAGGTCACTGGGAGCACATGAATTCAGTGTGAATTAATATAGTAATAAGAAGGATTATACTCAGTGCCGTGAATCTTACGGCATAATTCTTCATTTCAATAAGCAGACGCCTTACCATTGAGAGTTTGAAAATATACTACAATTTGTAGCTTTTTGTTTACATAATGTATTTTTTAGAGAATACATTAAATTCCTTATATCTTGTATAATTTTAGTGAAAAATCTAAATAACGAAAAAGTGCTGTCCCTTTTTGTTGCTAACACTGCGTCATTATTCACCATACAAAAATACAATGCATATCTTTTAGTGTTAATTTATGATGGGTGAGGTCAATGGGAACACGTGTATTCCGTGTGAATTTACCTAGTAATAAGATCCATTATACTCAGTACCACGAATCGTTCGGCATTATTCTTCATTTAAATATAAGAATTTTATACAATGCCTATTTTGTAGTGTACATTTATGGAAGTAAGTGAATAAACAAGCTGAAACGCCCTAAGTAAATTACCAGATTATTAGTTATTGATTGAGATCTGAATCTGCCATCAGATTGTAAAATTTGTATATAATCTCAGAAATTAGTTCAAAATTCCAGTTGTATAGTTTTTGCATGTGATGCGCCATAACCACTTTTCAATTCTTCATATGTCCTTAATAATTAAAGGGAAGGAGTGGGGCAGCAATCACTCCCTATTCCTTTAATCCTTTGTAAAGGTGATGCAGGTTCGTAATGCTAATGGCACTTTAATGGTATGTATCAATAATGGACCAGGAAGAAACAGGAGCATTTCCCGATGTTTTATTGTTTATATTATCTTGCTCCATAAACCCCCGTCTTGTGAGAGTGGGTGAAGGGTACTCAATACACCAATAACTATAAAATAATACAAGGTTGGCATGGTGTTTAGACGGATCCTTTTAAGCGATTCTTTTACAGAGGTTTGTTTCTTTTTTGTGGTAATGTCAGGGGCGTACCTAGAGCATTTGGCACCCGGGGCGGATTCTGTGCTTGGCACCCCTCCCACCCCCCAACCCCCAAAACCAGCTGTTAGCCCCTCCCTCCTACAAACCCTTGTCCTGCCCCACCCCTCCTACAAAACCTCTGTCCTGCCCCTTCTACAAATCCTGTACTGCCCAGTCTACAAAACCCCCGCAACCCCCTTCCACAAATCCCCTGCTTATCCCCCTTATAAAGACTCCTGTCCCAATACAAAACCCCCGCCCCCTTCTACAAAATCCCTGCAGCCCCACACACACATTTACAGGCAGACAGTCACACACTCAGTTACAGACAGTCACACACTCAGTTACAGGCAGACAGTCACATACAGTTACAGGCAGAGAGTCACACATACACATTTCCTCCGTGCGGCCAGTTTATCAGCTGTTTGCTTGTGTGAACTGTACTGGCCGCACGGCACCCTAACTACCATGGGACACTGTGCGGCCACAGCTCACACAGCCCCCTCCA